TGGGAGCGAAGCAAACACAGGCTGTCCCCTAACAAGATCTCCGGTTCTGTAAAGCCTTCTGACACGAGTCTAGAGTACTTGAGGGATATCAGGTCTTTCTAAAGCTATGTTGGTAAACTACCTAGCAAGAAAGAATAAAATCAAAATTGGATAGCACTTCGACCCTAATTCACAACAATCATAACACATAGCTCAATTGTAATCCCTACTGAACTCTGTTCTCAAACTCATGCTGATATGAACCATTCTGTATAGTCTCACTATAAAAGCACATATCACGTAAAAGCACCGAAACACCCCTATGAGGGGGTAGGGTTACCCTGTCGTAGATTTTTGGCATGATCTAAGCTGCACTATTTCAAACAACAAGTTTCGCAACATCCTACAAATGGGTGGCATCCTGTCCTAAGTTGGAATAGTCAATATAGCTTCATTATATGCAACTAGGTCGAATGGTCAAAAGGGTACCTCGGCAAGATTACCTAATATACCTCTCACACCTAACTCCGAGAAGTGAAATGTGGATCAAGCGGTACGGCGATAATCCAGATCCAAGGGTTGTGTTCCCATTGTGGTAGAGCCCGCGACCGGTCAACCTTTTGGCAAGCTTTTCAGGCAAGCCTTCAGTAAACCATCCAAGAATAATAGATGGCAAACACAGTGACTTAGGTGCACCAATGCAAATGCAATGCAAAGAACATATATAAGTAGATAAAATTTCACATCATGAGTTTTAAGTCAAGTTCTCTAATTTTCCCTAGCAGAATCGCCAGAAACTGTAGCTCGACTTTGTCGCACCCCCTTTCAGATGTCAAAATAAGCCCTACAGTATCGGACTCCCGCGGTTCTGAATCTGATGTGCAATGTGAAATAGATAAATACCAAAGAGTCTAAATTCGGCGAATCTTTTGGAAAATCGATTTTGAATCAAATTGCCAAAAATAGACTGTTTTGCCAGATACAGAATCGCCACGTAAATGTTTTATTTTGGAAAAATTTAGGAAACCCATGACTAGTGCCAAAAGCCTCGTGTCCGTCATCACCAAGATTGTCTCGGCTCGGGAACTTAGGTACGAGAAGATAAGGTCATGAATTGAGCACCCCCACTCGCCCGATCAAAGATTGGCCTATACTAATCATGATATGAATCTTACTTTGCATTATATGTTCTTGTTCCAGTTATTAATCTAGCATTATTATGTGATGCACACATACAAGTATAGACTAACTTACAAAAATTGGAACACTTGAGTCATGTTTGTTTTCTGAAAAGAGTTTGAATTTGCCACTTGAAAAGTGGGTTTAAATGTGCATGGCTCAAATTATTCCAATTCAAGCAATTAGTCTTCATCCACAGGCATACAAGTAGGTATATCAATTAAGCACTTAGCCTCATGGTAAGCATGCTAAACATGGCAACAATCACACTCATGCAATATGTTAAAGCAAATAAAGGCTCATCTCGTACTCCAAGCCAAAAAGACATAAGAGAGTTAGAAAAAATACATGATTCCTAACTATGCAATATGACTAATGCAACATATGCGATATGCAATCTAAAATAGGCTTGGCTACTTAACATAGCATATGAATCAATTGATAGTATGTGGTTTAAGCACGTATTCAAATAAGTATTAAACTAACAATGTAGTTGGAATGATGAACCGAGACTTGGTGCATGTAATACAAGTGGATGCAAACATGAAGAATGTTAATTTAAACGTAATGTCCCTATACTAACCATCATAAGCAGTTAAATAAAAAGGAGAAAGACTTGGGGTTGGAAGACATACACATTATTACAATATTATGCTCTCACGAAGGAGAGTCCGGATGAATAAACTAACTTGCTAACTAGTTAAGCTAAGCTAATTAATTAACTATTACAAACCAAATGAAATAAATTAACTCACAACTAATTAACTACTTTAGCTAATTGAATAATTACAACACAAGTATAATTTAAACAACTAATTACTCCGCCTCGGGAAGCAAGGAATGTTCATGCGGATGCTCGATTTCCACCCGAAAAGCCATTATTTTGCTTCTAGATAGCATCTGTTACACAATAGAACACATACACTGTTGCCCACTTCCAGAATGGCTCTACTCCGCCAAAGGAACACACTGCTGAATTTTGCATTAGTGGTCGGCCGGCCACTGGTGAGGGATGTCGGCCATCAAAGGTGGTTTGTCGGCCACTGCTGGCTATGGAAAGTGTCTTACCGGCCCCTGCTGCCTAGTTCACCTTGTTGCAACAGAAGACAAACAGAGCATGCACAAGGTATTCTCTAGAGTTGTCTGCATAACTCACCCTTCATTTTCATGAACGAATCAAATGAGAAGTAAACTTAAGCCACAAACCACTAACTCAAGCAATTTCATTGCAAGATGGCTTGTGAATCAAAGTGTGCAAGTTCAATAAATGCAACAAAATATGACTCTAACCTCTTCCCTTTCATGAATTGATCAAGGGAAGTGGTGACCTTGAAAACTTGAATAATTTCATCACTAATAAGTATAAACTGCCTCAAGTTTCCATGTCTTCAATTAACGTCCGATTGAACACAACCAAATTATTATCTTGCACCATTTTAGCCTCAATTTTAGTTACTCAATTTTAAATTACCATCCGTTCTTTAATTCGTCAAGTCCAATGGTGAGTTTAAGTCCTCTAAATGGAAAGAAGCGTCAAACAAGGAGTTGTTCTTGGCATGAGAGAAATGTAATGCCCTTGTAATGAACCTCCGAAGAGATTAAACCATTTAGCATGGAAGGTCTCTTTCTCATGCTAAAAACAACATATATGGGACATCAATTCATCACTTTCAATTAGATTACAATAATATACGATATAACAATAAATCAAAGCAAAAGAGCAAAATAAGTAAGAAATGCTTGAAAACTTGAATAATTTCATCACTAATAAGTATAAACCATTTAGCATGGAAGGTCTCTTTCTCATGCTAAAAAACAACATATATGGGACATCAATTCATCACTTTCAATTAGATTACAACAACATACGATATAACAATAAATCAAAGCAAAAGAGCAAAATAAGTAAGAAATGCAAAAAAAATGAAAGGTTTGTGAAATTCACCTTCCAAGGAAAGAATGAACTCCTTAGTTCACAAACTCCCTCTTGATCTCCCTCAAGTGTAGGAAGTGTGTTCTCAAATCCTCAATTCGAAATTATGGAGTTTATGGTATGGAAAATGGCTAACTCTCTAGGTTCTCTCACTTTCAATCAGTAAACACTCTTCCTTATGATCAAGGTAATTGATCTTTGGCTATATCAGAATTTTTGGAGTGTTTTTTGTGTATGGAAATGAGGAATTTCAGTAGCTATGGAAGCTTGGAAGTGTTGGCTCAAAATTGAAAATGTAAACAATCTTTTATTCTCTTTTCGCTCTAACTCTCTTGAAGCATTCTTATGTTCTTTTATTTTGGCAACCCTGAGCCTCTCTCTCTTTGGCTTTATATAGGCAACAAAGTATAATATAATAATATAAAAAGCTATAGGCATATAATATAATAATATAAATATTATATAAAGATTATATTTAATATACTATATATATATGTTATGCTGAGATTTAGATGTCGGCGACCGAGAGCTAAACCGACATCAAAATAATTTATACCAATTTATATAAAAACACCAAAAATATGAACAAACACATAAAATTATGCAAAATTACAAAAATACTAAACTAATAAAATATTAAATATTTTAAAACAATTTGGCCATAATGGTGAAGGTTGGGATTAAAGTTCAAATTTCATCTCTCTTATTGAGGATTCTGTAAGAAACACATTCTACTTATCATCATCGGGTAATCAAAAGAAAACGCCCAAGTCTTAGGGCCGGTCAAAATAGGGTGTCTATACATGGGATTATAGTTTCTTTGACGATTCAGGAATGGTAGTCCTTAGAGTCCGTTTCGATGCATGATATTCAACTAATAAAGAGTGTCGAGAGGGCACACATTGGTAGTTTGACTGTGCAGCCAACATTACTAGGTAAAGTTCGTCAGATGCAATATTTAGATGGGTTCCTTGTTAGCAAGCTTGATGACCTTGTAGTGGATTTGATCGATGATTGTCCTACTGATTGGTCTGTGGACTCAGATGGGGGAATTGCGATTTAGGGGCAGGTTGTGTGTATCTAACATTATTGAATTGAGGAAAGAGATTATGGATAATGCTCATAGGTCCCGATATACCATTCACCCTGGTGGGACTAAGATGTATCATGACCTGAAGAGGACTTTTTTGTGGAAAGATATGAAGAAGGGTGTAGCAGAGTATGTTTCTCGATGCTATGTGTGTCAACAGGTTAAGATAGAACACCAACGATTTTTTGAACTTTTGTAGCCTCTCGAGATCCTTACTTGGAAATGGGAGTACATCTTTATGGACTTCGTGAATGAATTGCCGCGGACTAAGGAAGACAATGAATCTATTTGGGTGATAGTAGATGGACTCACCAAGTCTGCTTATTTTATTCTTATCAGTGTTCACCGAACTACGAATAAACTGGCTAGACTATATATTCGGGATGTGGTGTGACTTCATGGCGTGCCAGTTTCTATAGTTTTGGATCGTGATTCATCGTTTGTGGCAGAGTTTTTGGAGAGTTTTCAGCATGCTTTGGGTGCTAGGTTAGACCTGAGCACAGCTTATCATCCTCAAATAGATGGGCAAACTGTGCGGGTAAATAAGATCTTGGAGGATATGTTGAGAGCTTGTGTCCTCGATCTTGGTGGTAGTTGGGAAGAGCACTTGCCATTGGTGGAGTTTTCTTATAATAATAGCTATCACTCAAGTATCGGGATGACACCTTTTGAGGCTTTATATAGGAGGCCATGTTGATCACCTGATTATTGGATAGAGGTAGGAGATGTGCTGTTGTTAGGGCCAAAGTTGGTGAGGGAGACCACAGAGAAGGTGAACATTATTCAGGAACGTATTAAGACTGCACAGAGTCGTCAGAAGAGTTACACTACAAAGAGCAAAGGTGGTGAAGGTTCCGGTATAAACACCACTATCATCCAAATGCCCGACATTAAGCTGGACAGACGCATGGTCCTTTGCAGTAATTAGCCTATTTGTTGCAGAACTGCAATCATATAACAGAGTTCAGACAAAAACCACATAACCCAAATCTCAACAAAACACTACATATATAAACAAAAAATGCCATACCATTTTCTGGGGATGTAAAGATCCATGTTTTGACCCTCTTCATTCTGCATCTTGGCCGGTGTTTTGAATTGACAGTAAAAGATCTAACAACCAAATTCAACAACAATGAATACTCATCTTATATTATCAATACAAAGATATTAAAAAAATTAAAAGTAACCCAAATCTAGTTTTTTGAGGTTCTCTAACCCAGTTACAATATCCATAGCAATTTTCACCGAAATGCAAACAAGCACACTAGTTTGGTTACTGAGAGAGAGAGAGAGAGAGAGAGAGAGAGAATAACATTTTGAATGCTAGATCATTAAAACCTAAATCTCCACTCAACTATGCAGCTGCGTTTAGTGTGCTGGTATTCCAAATCAACATAAAGCATAGATTTTTATTTTCTTTTCCCTTTTATACTTCGTTTTCTCAGTAACCAAACAGATTCACATGAAGTTTACCATCAGATCTATAAAAATTGCAACAAATTCATCAAAACTCCATGTCAACACACATATAAACATAACATCGATATACGTATATATAGACTAGATAGAGATGAGGATTACCAGGGAAAGCGAAGGAAGAAGATTGATAGTGGATGGTGAGAAATTGCAATGGTGATATGGGGAGAGCACTGAGGTGCTTTTAAAGAGTCTCCCAGATTCACAAAAACCAAAACCCTAATTCGTCAAGAAGGTTCTCTGCGAGAATATACATTGGGCTGGCCCATGATTGTAAGCCCAATATGTTTGACCTCTTGGGCTTCGTTGTGCAGAAGAAATTGGGCAGGCCTATTATTCAGAACGAAAACTGAACAGTAGTGAAGCCTGATGAGTTAAAGGCCCAATACTCTTTGGGCTTTGCTTTGGCATAATCAATTTCAGGCCTTCATTTTTTGGTATGATTTCTAATATTCTGGGCTTTTATTTGATATCCATATTTTAGTATACGCCATGGGCCCAAGACAACCTAGAGTTTTGTAAAAATATTTATATATTCTTGTCATTAATGTGTAGGATTTAAATTTTAATGATTGTTTGAATATGTCTTACCACAAATTTGGTAAATTGTTGAAGCCTCCAACTACAATTTTTTTTTAATGTTTTTATACATACATTATCTAATTTTATTTTGTTTTTAATGTTTTTAGGGAAAATATTGTTAGTTAAATTCCGCCATATTTATTGTAGATTCTTATATGTAGTGTATGAACAATGCTATATACACTAATTAGTATATTAATTAGTGTACTAATTGATGATGTGACATAATTTATGAGATTTTTGATATTTTTAATATGATTAATGAATAGAGTTAATAATAATATCATAACTAGTGTTGATACACTAATTAATATATTAATTAATCCATATAACACCACCATTGTTGAAATGAGTAATTCAATTAGTTTCGGTTATGTCGTGTAGATTCTGAGCTGTTTATGTCGCTCAGCTAAAACCACTAACTTTTGGAATTGAAACCGCCTTTTTGTTATTACTAGCGGCAGGCACACACAATGCGTGTGCAAATTCGTTTAGAATTATAATATGAATTTGATATTATTTTTTCTAATAATCATATGAATAATTATATACAATGTAACATTTGGTATTAAATTTGAAGACATAAAATTAAGCAAACAAATAAACCAATTTTATTGAAAACATAATATTTTTATTTTTTATTTTTTTTTTGTTGAAGACACACACACACACACAAAATTAACCACCCAAACAAACTAATTTTTTCAAAACATAAATTATAAACACACAAATACAAAATTAAGAACATTGATTTTTAAAAATAAAAAATACATACACACACAAAATTAGGTAAACAAACAAACAAAATTTTCAAAAACTGAATTTATACACAAAAGTAAACAAAAGCTTAAAAAAGTTAAATAGGAAAAAAGCCCCAAACTTTTTAAGTCTAAAAATTTACACACATTTTTTGCTTCGCAATTTAAAAAAAAAAAAATTGAACATAACACGAAATAGAAAAAAATACAAATCCCAAACACATAGAACAGTGGTTTTTTTGTATTTTAAAACACACATAAACAAACCAAATTTAAAAATAAAAATGAATTTATACACAAAAACAAACAAAAAATTAAAAAAGTGAAACACGAAAAATCCCAAACCAAATTGTACACATTTTAGGCTTCACAACTTTTCGGAAAAAAATTAAATATAAATATACAGAAGCACACAAAATAAAAAAAGTATAAATCCAAGACACTTACAACACTCATAGTCAAATAGATTTGATAGATATAAAGAAAAATAAATAATAACATTGAATTTGATATGCACAAAAAATAATTAACAATTTAAAAATAAAATCACAGCAATTAAATGCACTTATATACCAATTTTTACTAAAACTCCACACGTTGGTCAAATTGAAACGTAGAATCTTAAAAAAATTGAGTTCAAAAAATAGGGAAAACAAACAAAGTGAAACAGGGAAAGAAACATACAAAATAGAAACAAACCAAAAATTAACAAAGTGAAATAGGGAACTAAATAAATAAATTGCACCAACTCCCATTTATAAGATTGAATAGAAAAATATAAAAGCATACCAAATAGGAAATAGAAACCCAAGAAATCTCTCTGTACAAACCCAGCATTTTCTATAAAATGTGATTGTGAATCCATCTGGAACCTAGGGTCTTGTAACCCATCTCCACATCATCAAAGGGCATTTACAACCAATCACATATTTGTAGGGACACTTTCGAAAGAGACTCTGCCTAGCATCCATCAAAACAGATGCAGTTTCATGAAAAGCATGTTTTTTTAGAACTTTTCGGTGAAGATGTTGATACTAATTTAACTGCACAGCAGTTTGGAGACGTGGGGAGTAACTGATTCAGAACTTTTCAGCAATAAGGAGACGTGGAGAGTGGAAAGTGAGAAAGTGAAATTGAATGTTTTAATTTATCATTTTATCCCTAATTAAAACTGATGTAAGTGTAAAAAGTTAAGGTCATTTTAGGGAAAATTGGAAAAAAATTTTGAGAAGTGGCTTCATGACACCAAAATTGGTGTTGGCTTTTAATAATAGAATAGATAATAAATGTCTTATAGTAAATTCTACTATACTCTCTTTGTGTGTGAGGATTATATTTTGTTTACGTCAATAATTGAAGTACCGAGCTTTCAGTTTTCACTTTAAACATTACACGGGAAATTAGGACTTAGAGAATATAAGGTGTAGGTGGAAAAAGAATCAGAGTAACGTTAGGAATCATAAAAAAAATATCATGAAAATGATCATGAAAAATTTTCTATCTTTAGATTATATACATACAATAAAACACCACACACTAATTAAATGATGAAAAATTTTCATGATATATTTCATGATATTTTTTTCATGATCCCTAATATTATTCAAAGAATTAATGGGTTTCTAATTTAATTCCATTGATTAGAGAAAAAAGATATCTTAGAACCATAATGTACACCTTAACATGGAATGTCTAGTTACGCCTTCATTGCATGAAAAAAATAAAAATAAATGAAAAGTGATATGTTAACAAAATGACCTTCATACATTGAAAAATTAGGCTAACATTATATATGAAAAAAAAAAAAAAAACTCTTTCAATCACTGGCTTATTGACTAACTACAAAACCTACTTTATAAATCTAAAAGTAGTTTTGTATTCTCTAAAATGTCGTTTTAATAAATTTATTTTTTTTTATAAAGATAATGCCTCACAAGTTTGTGTTCCTTTATCTATAAGAAAAAATGTGGCCAAAACAACCAATTTTTGGCAGTGCAATCGCCAAAAGATCACCGAGGGCTCTTGTGTTCTTTACTCTGGTATTTGATATTAGGCCCATGCTTTTTTTCCATTGTAAAATCGGATCGGAGTGTATTATTTGGCTTCATAGGCCCATTATAGAATCTACATCGATGATTCAAAATGTTTAATAATTAGAGCTCGTCGAATATTTCATTTTTGAAAAAATCACGTTGATCAGATATAGATAGCCATTTGATCAGATTAAATTTGTGTTAACACTACAGGAAATTGGAGTTTTAGTGGCGCTTTAAAAACGCCGCTAAAAGCTTGGAAAACGCCGCTAAAAGTTACAGCGACGTTTAATATTTACGCTGGTGATACGGCCGTCGCAATAGCTCTACGACGTTTGAAAAACGTCGCTAAAAACATTAGGTGGCGTTTTATAAAACGCCGCAAAATCTTTGACTCCGGTTATAACTTCCGTCAGACTAACGTATGACGTCATTTAGTGGCGTTTTTTCAAAAACGCCACCTTTTTTTTTTCTTTTCTTTTTTTTTGTGTGTGTGTGTGTGTGTGTGTGTGTGTGTGGCGCAAAACTAGAATACCATGAGGCACATAAATGAATAGCAATTTGGGCCCCTAAAGAATTTCTATTATTTCAATGTCATCTTCCAATCAAAGAACAAAAAACTGAAGGCTACATTTCTGTTCTCTAAATTTCATCATATAGAAAAATAAAAAAATGTCATGTTACATGTAAAGAGTAGTGTGCATCAAATACAGACACATATATGAAGCACCTTTTCCAATAATCTGCAGAGAGAGAGATCGGACAAAGTCAATATAGTTGTGTGGTTGGCAGGGATCCCCTCTTATTAACCATCAATAGAGATGCAACTACATCAACCTGTCACTGTAATATGGGACCCAAACATAAGTTTTCCATCCCACCCCCTTCTCCAGCTTTCAATCTTTTCCCAAACAACTCAAAAACTCCTAAGACAATGCTCCATGTGTGGTGATACAACCCCTGGACAAACCCAGGCAACTCGACCAAGCGTTGTAGCACTATTTTCTATAAGTGACTTATTGAGCTCCTGCTCAACATCAAGAAATGTAACTAATTAGAGATAACAGTCCGAAACATACACCCATGCCCACAAGTGTGTGCACGCATACACATGCATGACTGGAAATAGAGAATCAGTGAAATTGTCATTTATTGCAACAAATGATATAATAACCGCAAATAAGTGACAAGATGTAACAATATCTATCAAACCACTAAGAAGCACGGACACGGATACAAATACGGATACGGAACACAGCAATTTTAAAAAAATGGGGACATGGACATGGCTGGGACACGGCAATAAAATATTTTTTCATATATTTTTATTTGCTATCTAGATTAATATTACATTCACAAACAATCAGTATTAATAAAAATAACTCTAATTCTATATTTTTTTTAAAAAAAAAATTTAAAATTAATACTTATAGTTTATATCTTTTTTTATAGATGATCTATTAAGTATTTAAATCTATAAAAAAAAATAGTAAACATTCACCATTCAACATTCCTTAAAAGTACTAAAGAAAATGGGGGAAAAAGACAACATGGCATATCCCTAGTGTATCCCTGAAGTATCCTGGCATGAGCCCTAAAAATAAATTAATTAAATAAGGTGTCACGCCATGTGGCGTGTCCCATACGTGTCCCCAAAGTAGCCACATGTCCCCGAAGTGTCCATGTGTCTGCAGGCTCACGGATTTACATCCCGTTCAGTTTTAGGACATGTAGCATGTACAAAGTAACTGGACCTTGCCTTTTTTTCAATTAAGTTGCCCCTGCTAAATAACAGGATCATTCTTCATGTTACATACTTTTCATATATTCAAGCACAAAATCAAGAAGATCAACTATGAAGACC